GCACTGTTCTTTATGCCCTTGGCACAGATGTTGTTTTTATTCAGTTCCTTGAATTATTTATTGTCCTCACTTCCTTACTATTCATTTCTTTAAAAAATGATTTTTCCATTTTTTGTTTGGTTAATTCTTTATATAAAAAAGATAACCAGTATGTACCTCACGTGTTTCATCTAGAGTTTAGAGATGAAGGTCGTGACTAGCGATTCGGAGGTAATAGCACAGAGGTGACACTTAAAGCTGCCAGCCACTCAGACCCCTTGAGTGTGGTACGTGCTCCGTCCTGCTCACCCACCACCGCATGTGCTGCTCCTCCAGCAGCTTCATTTTCCTGTCTTTGTTCATTTGGACAAATGACTGTGATCCAACCACGACAGCACGCTGCTTTCCACAGTAATACTTCTGTTGCACTCTCCAACCTGCTGTCTCACTATGATGCATGCAGTGCTCATACACATTTTGATAGCATTACCCTTTACGTCCCTGTCCAAAACATGAAAAACGGCAAGAGAATTAAACCGAGGACATCCCGAGTTCAGCAGCTTTTAGGTGGAGCCTGCTAGTGATTGTGAGTGTGGGCCGAAGGAGAGGGGTCAGAGTGCCTGGTTATCACAAGGTCCAGAAAAGAGTTTTCGGGAGGGGTCACAGTGCACCTACTTCTCGCAGCCACAGGGCTGCCTTGAAGAGAGCCTTGGGGACTTGCTTTCTTCTGCGGGCTTGGTGTTCGGAGTGGCTGAGCTGGAGTGGTGCCACCACATCTGCCCGGCCAGGACATGGTTCTTGCTGTTAAGGAGCATCCAGTCGGATGGAAGTGCACAGGAGGGCGCCCGGCCTGACTCTGGACGGCCGCAGCCCCGCCCGCCGCATCTTGTTGCTTGCTTACTTTCCCTGTTATGCCTGAGCCATTTTATTTCCTCACGTTGTTCTAGGACCAGCTACTCAGTCCTTGCTTAGAAGAGAATGGATGGATGCTGGGAGTGACTGAAAAGAGAGGAGGAAGAGAAGAAAGCACTTCTCTCTGAGGAAGGGCATTATCAGGAAGGGTGGCCAGCTAATTTTGATGAAGACTTTCAGCTGGTAGACTTGAACTTACTAAACTAACCATAGTCCCTCTAGATGCTGTTAATATTCTGATTAAATAGATTCACCATGGACTTAAGTAATATTGAAATGTAAAAGTAAATATGTGATAAGGAAAATTTTCATATACTCTGCTGTTTGAAAGATGAAAGTGACACACTGTGACTTGTTCTACTGTTTAATTCTGTGGCTGTTTACCATAACTCTTTACCCTTAGGCACATTTTCTGATACTTAGAATTGCTAATAATTGTCCACATATGTTCCCTACTTAAGTCCACTCCAAAGAACAGGTTTACGGTGTTGCTGAGCTGCTGTCACTTGACACACTTGGCCAGGCACCACGACTTCCAGCTGGTAGTTTAGTAAGTGAAAAGCATGTGTATTTGTATACATTCTAGGAACTGCCTAAAGTTGATACTGCACCTCCAAAAGGTTCGATGCTGTAAATGAGGAAAGGAAGAGAGTGGAAAAGGCAGGATGGGAAAAATAGATGAAGAAAACGTCCTCCTGTTTACTGGAAAAAAAAGTTTCTGTTGCCCATTTCAAACCTCTTCAGTTTTTACAGGTGATTATACTGGTCTGTCTCTCTCTCTCTCTCTCTCTCTCTCTCTCTCTCTCTCTCTCTCTCTCCCTATGTGCTCGTTTGTGTTTTGAAATGAAAATAAAATGTTGAGTTACAACAGTCAAGATGTAATGAGATTCTTGACATTTCTATTATTTTACTGAGAAACTTTTATATTTAAAATGTGTTAAAACCCATTAAAAATATAGGCAGAAGAGGAGATGGTTTGGAAGAGAAAATGCTGCAGACTGGGCATTTTGAAGTTGTGTTTTAATGACAGCCTTAGGTTCCTCCTAAATCGGTGTGACTTCACATGGCCCGGGAGGACAGTCCTGCAGTGCACGATTTCCTAAGGCAGATACCACGTGGCGGGAGTGAGTTTTTGTTGTAGTGGGCTTGGCCTGTTGGCCTCCTGAGAGCAAGTGCTCTGGGACTAGGAGGCGATGTGTCTGGATCTCTGTGAGCATATAAGACATGCTACTCTTTCTGCTGCTGTATTCCTTGGAGATTTGTTGGCGCCACCAGAGTTTGGGTTTTCATGGTGGCTGTTTTGAGATGGACAGGCGTTTGTGTTTTGGTCCAGTTCATTGGTTTTCCTTCCATTCAGTGAGGACAACTGCTTGCACCGTGGTTCCAGTCATGTATGTACGCCATCCCTTGCAGCTGCTGAAAGCAACAGTTAGCACGCTACTTGGCTTAAAGGTTTGTAGTTGAAAGACCAGTGAGTAAGTTCTGGAATGTGAAGGAGAGCATGACAATCTGGTGACAGTGTCAAGAAAGCTCAGCAGTCAGGCTTAATTATGTAGCAGCACAAAGCCACTGACCCTTTCACCAAAAAGTGAGTGAGAACAGTGGGCACTTATTTATCTCACTGGCTGCCCAGTCCCAGGCTGCGTGAGCCCTGCATTCTGCAGGCATTGTGCGTTTTTTAAAATACCCCTAAATGTTCCAGCTTTAAATAGCAACGAGTCTGCTGAAATGTTGCTGTGTGCTGCAGGAGAAATGAAAGCGGCTGCCTTGGAGGCAGGAAGCCGACAAGCAAGATGCTTAATTATCGTGGAAGTAAGTGCTTGTTACTGTTGAGTGTGGCGGGCGTGCAGGGAGCTCGGGTCCTTCTCAGTGTCAGGGCGTGATTTGTAGACAATGCCACTCTGTCAGCTCAGTGCTGGTTCAGCGGCGTCTTTCCAAACATGTATCTGGCAAGCATTTAAAGGCCACCTCTTGTGTAATTTGCAGTCTTGGAAAAGGATCCTCTGCCTCTCTTTTCAGGATGTACGCAAGCATGCAGGATTTTGCACTTAGAATCTGTGGCTCCTGCCTCCTGCCTGCCATGCTTACGAGGAAGTTGGTTTTCCTGCCTGGCACCTGGAAGGGTGCTGACAGTTCTCTGTAGTCTGCTGGGGATGTGGAAGGGCTGCACAGAGCAGCGTCTTCCTGCTGCGTCGTCATAGATGAGCGCTGATGGGGTGGGGTAGGCTGTGCTGCTTAAGGAAATGAAGGCATCGTATTGATTAGTGAAAGACTTCCAGCTGTAAGAGTGGATGAAACTAAGGAGAGATTGGAAAGAGGTGCTGACGAATGCCAGAGTCATCCTGCAATATGCCTCACCTAGGTAAGTAATAAAGTAGATACCGATCTGGAGGAGTGCTAGTAATGATATAATGGCTCCAGAAGAAAACCTGTTTATTTTTTCTGCTGCGTTTGCTCTTGCCAACTATGTTAAGCCCTTGTAAGGAAACAAGTGTTGAATTTGGAATACAGAAGGAGTTATGAAATAAGTTTGCAGTATTATTCATAAAATCATTTTTCAGTTTTTAGTCTTGTCAAAAACCTGCTTTTGTATTGCTCGAGTTGTCTGCTCTTTGGCGTTGCATCTCCGACTTCGGCTCTGCAGTGGCTCGTGGTGTTTCATGTGATCAGAGGTCATTGGGGCGAAAGTCCAGCCTTGCGGCAGTGGTCTTACTGCTGCGGAGCAGGACGTGAAACCCCAGCTCCTGCCTCATGAAACACTTCAGTTAAGCTAAAGTAGTGATCGTCTTTTCAGTATAAATGATGGATTTTACTAAATGCTTTTAACGCCTTTCTTTCAAACCTGCTTTACTGAAAATAATGGATCTTGGAACTGTGAACCACAATCTAGTGTTAGAACTTTTATTTTCATCTGTCTGATTTTGACAGTTGCGTGTTTGTTTTCAGGAGTATTTATCAAATGTGAATTCATATCATCCTTCTGTTTTTTTTAGAGAAAGCTTGGGATTATGGCAGTTGTGGAGCCCCACTGATGCAAGTTCCATTCAGTTTCTTCTGAAAGAAAGCCATCTGCTAAAGCGAAGCTAAGAAACTATTGTGGATTATAATCATTTTTAAGATCTGGATCTTCAGTAGTTTGAAAATCAGGCAACATTTAACCTTTTCGATGAAAAAGCTTAAGATTTCATGCAACGGTTGTACATTTCGGAAGCCATTCTCCAAAAGGGAAGTGCACATCTAAAACACAAATATGATTCTTTCTGCAGGGATTTAAGTCTGATTGATTTTACATCATGACCAGCTTGAAACGGTCACAGACAGAAAGGCCTGTTGCCACTGACAGGGCCTCTGTTGCTGGCACAGATGGCGCCCCCAACGTCCACGCTGATGACTTCTACATGCGCCGCTTCCGGGCCCCAAACGGCAGCTTAGGTTCGTCAGTTATGGGTCCTGTGGGGCCGCCGCGGAGTGAGGGCTCTCACCATATAACCTCCACTCCTGGCGTCCCCAAGATGGGGGTTAGGGCGAGGATTGCAGACTGGCCTCCAAGAAAGGAAAACATAAAGGAATCTAGCCGTTCAAGCCAGGAAATAGAAAGCTCAAGTTGCCTTGAGAGCCTGTCCTCCAAAAGCAGTCCTGTGAGTCAGGGGAGTTCTGTGAGCCTCAGTTCCAGTGACTCAGCCATGCTGAAGAGCACACAGAGCACACGGGAGAGCAAGACCAGGCCAGCGGAGAGCATGGACTCCAGGTTTCTGATGCCTGAAGCCTACCCCACTTCCCCCCGGAAAGCTCTTCGCAGAATACGGCAGCGGAGCAACAGTGACATCACCATAAGCGAGCTTGACGTGGACAGCTTTGATGAGTGTGTCTCACCCACGTACAAGACTGGGCCCTCGTTGCACAGGGAGTACGGCAGCACATCTTCAATTGACAAGCAAGGAACATCTGGAGAAAGCTTTTTTGATTTGTTAAAGGGCTATAAAGATGATAAATCTGATCGAGGTCCAACTCCGACCAAACTCAGTGACTTTCTCATTGCTGGTGGGGGAAAGGGTTCTGGTTTCTCTTTAGATATTATTGATGGGCCCATCTCACAGAGAGAAAACCTTAGGCTTTTTAAGGACAGGGAAAAACCACTCAAACGACGTTCCAAGTCTGAAACCGGAGACTCGTCCATTTTCCGTAAATTACGCAATGCCAAAGGTGAAGAACTTGGGAAATCGTCTGACCTTGATGACAGCCGATCAGAAGACTCTGTCAGGCCCTGGACTTGTCCAAAGTGCTTTGCCCACTATGATGTCCAGAGCATATTATTTGATTTGAATGAGGCAATTATGAACAGGCACAATGTCATTAAGCGGAGAAACACCACTACAGGAGCCTCGGCGGCGGCCGTGGCCTCCCTGGTGTCTGGACCTTTGTCTCATTCGGCTAGTTTCAGCTCTCCCGTGGGCAGCACCGAGGACCTGAACTCCAGAGGCAGCCTCGGCGTGGACCAGGGCGACGACAGAAGCAATGAGCTTGTGATGAGCTGTCCATACTTTCGGAATGAGATCGGTGGAGAAGGCGAACGGAAAATCAGCCTGTCCAGATCAAATTCAGGCTCGTTCACCGGCTGTGAAAGTGCCTCCTTCGAGTCTACCCTCACCTCCCACTGCACAAATGCAGGCGTGGCGGTGCTGGAGGTGCCCAAGGAGAGCTTGGTGCTGCACCTGGATCGAGTGAAGAGGTACATCGTGGAGCACGTGGATCTTGGCGCGTACTATTACAGGAAATTCTTCTACCAGAAAGGTGAGTAGAGATGGTCTGGGTTTTTAAAATTTCTTTTGCTATATACTGTGGAAAAATAATATATTAATGTTTTTAGCAGTATGATAGGTTTTGCATGAATACCTTTCTCAGAGGTAAAATATTTAAATACCGCTTTGTTGAGCTTCTTTTACATTTTTTGAACTACTTTCCCCTTTCAGGAATACAGGTGTCTTGTATGTTAAATATTAAATTTGAAAAACCCTTCTGACTTAGTGAATGAAATTACCGTCCTTGTTGTACACTTGTCACTTCTGGGATGAGTATGTAAGTTTGAAAATATTTTAAATATAGCCTTTTAAAAAAGATTACAGGAGCAATTTTAATGCCACCTTTCTGTTAGCACTTTCTGCAGTTAGTCCAGGATTTCTTTGCCACTTCAGTGCTACTAGTAAATGGAAATTGCAAGTGTTCCTGTTTCCCAGGAGCATCAGCCAAAATAAATTATATTACTTGACAGATAAAAGTTTAGGTCCTCAGTTTGAGTCGAAAAAAATCAGAGGAGGAAAGTGAGTTTAACACTGGCAACTTGGTTTTAGTCTTTGTGTGTGAGTGTGTGTGTAAGAGGGAGGGAGGCAGGGAGAGGTGAGCTGAGGTTGTACTGTCTGACCCCCCTTCTTAAGAAAGGCCCCGGTTTGCTGAGGAGCAGTGAACTCTTGGGAGCTTTCTCACAGTTTCTGGAGCGGCCCTGTAACTGAGGGGTGAGTGTCAGTCATGCTGCGCCGCAGGCTGAGTGCTCAGCGAGCAGGGGATCGTTGGCTGCCCCAGCGGTCTGCAGCCAGGTAAAGAGGCCTCTGGTACTGGAGGCTGCCCACCACAGACCCCTAGGGTTTTGAGTCCCCACCACTGTTGTAGAGCTTTAAATGCTGTGCAGATTTATCCTTCTGAATGAAGTGTAACTTCAGGTCTGGCGCTCACTATTAGTGTACGATGCTGTTTCCCTTAGGATAAATTTATCTTAAGATTATTCTGCAGTGGACCCCCCCAGGGATTACTGATCGGAAGCGCCTTGTCTCAGTGCTAAGTGTCTGTGTCTTTCCTTATTCCTGAGTGTCTGTGGCATGAGTCCTGGAATCAAAGCAAATGAAAATCTGTCTCTCCTTCTACTCCCAGGACTGGGGCTTGAACGCGGGAACGTCACACTATCTCTCAGCCCTTTTTAAATTTTTGAATTTTGAGACAGGGTCTTCCTAAGTCGCTAATTGTTTCAGTCCAGACTTAACACTTGGCTACACTCCTGTCTCAGCCTCCCAGAGTGCTAGGTTTATGGGCATGTGCCATCACACCCTGTGTTATCTTTAAACTATATTTTCTCTGAATAATTTTCTGGAATTCAGATTTTAGGATTATGTCTTTTTTATACTCACCTTTAATGTACAGGATTTGTTAGCTTCACAGACTCAACATTTGGGGCCAATGGCTTTTTTGTATAGTAGTGGACACTTGTTCCTACTAACAGTCTAACAAATTTTTTCATTTCAACCTCTTGGTGTCCATGAGTTCAGTACTATTTTTAACCCATTTTCCAAATGAACAAACTGGTATTCAGGCACAGCGCTGCCCTGGAGCCTAGTACATTTTGTGGACTGGAGTTACCCTTTGTAATCTTGACCACGGTTGTGTTCTCCATCATTGTTTTTTGACCTGCACTTACGTTACACCAGTGGAGGGGGAAACTTATTTAAAGTATTTCATCTTTCAAAAGCATGGAATGAAAATTTGAATATTGAAAGTCTGCAGTAGTCTTGCTTATTCATAACAACCCATAAATCTAAAGGCCACTAATTCAGTAGTGACTAATTTGGAGGATGGAAAACATTCTTATTAAGAAGAAGTGGAAGTGCTTAGTTGAAAGCAGTTTTAAAAAGGGCATTGTTTTAAAAATGTGTGTCTAAAATAGTGTCTTTCGCTTAAGGTAAGAATACAATTGCCTATCTCCCAGGAATCCAAGCTTTTGAGTCTTTCAGGGTCCTCAGCATATCTATCAATCGTATAAGCCCCAAGAGCAGTGTCAGTGTGGACATTAACAATCTGGCATGGAGTGCATCGGTTTTTCTGAGTTTCCATCACTGCCTTCCCCATTTCAAATCTCACGGCTTTTAATGGCAGTCTTACATTCTTTCCAGAACCTTCAACGTAGATTTATAGAAACATCTTTTCTACCCGTATGTCATCAGATTCCATGATGGTCACATTTCATAATCAAGCTATAATGTGTCAGCTGGCATCAGCAGGTCTAGGGAGGTGCAGCCGACCCTGCCTGCGTAGTCCTGCTGGTGGCAGCAGAGCGTGCGTGGCTCAGCATCGTGTCAGAGGAGTGGCCACAGTCAGGTGCGGGAAACTAACTGGCCTCCGAAGTCAGGACGGAGAACGCTGCTCCGTGGGCCCTGCGGGCCCTGCAGGGAGAGCTTCGCTGAGAGGTGGGCCGTTCACCACAGTATGGTGGTGGCTCTGAGCAGCCATGTGTGAGGCAGAGACCATGCCCCCGGATGGTGTACTTTAGAACTTAGGTTATCAGGCCAGCCAGCCAGCTCAGCAGACTGAAGTGCCAGCTTGGGCAGAGCACAGCGGCTGGGGTTTGATCCTCTACCTGCCTTGCCAGCCCCACCCCGGGATGTGCTGAGATGGCAGTTGAGACTGGACGTGGTGGCCCTGGCCTGTAATCCCAGCGCTTGGGAGGCTGAAGACAGGAGGATCACCAGGAGTCTAATCTGTGTAGTGAGACCCTGTAGACCCTGTACTAAATACATTAAAAATAGAAAGGCAGAACTTATGTTATCTGTATTCTTATGGCAACATACAAATAAATAATTCTGTGAAGACTTTGCTGTCAGCTTTGATACACTAAAATTAGTATCTTAATTCATTTTCCCTTGCTAGAACCGTAGAGTGACTCCTCCTGCTGAAGGAGCCGGGCGGGGTTGGATGGAGTTTACCCTCCCTCCTCATCCTCTTCATCTCTAGTTTCGGGAGTGCTTACCGCATGCCTGGCTCCACTGTGACTGAGGCTCTGGGGAAACACTGCGGAGGTTCCCTGTGGCCACTGTTACATGTAAAGTCTCATCACATTCAGCTGATAATGTGATAGCTTTTTGTAGACCTTATTTTGCAGATACAGACTTTAGAGGACACACAGTTCCAACATGCCAGCCACTGATGCTGAACCTTTTAAGGCTTTCAGTGGCAGGGCCTGCTGCAGCATGCGTGCCGTGCCGTCACCACTGGTGTAAGCCGCGCCCGTGTTGGGAAACGCTGGGGCAGGGCTGAGGAGATAGCTGAGCGGTCTGCAGGCCTGCCTGGTAAGTGCAAGGACCCAGGTTCAATCCCCAGTACTGCATGCTGCACTTGCCCCCGAACCAGGGTGGTCGCGCATGCCTGTAATCCCAGCACTGGGGAGGCTGAGACAGGAGGATCGCTATGAGTCCCAGCTGCAGAGCAAGACCCTGTACCAAATGAAAAGTTTTTTTAAAAAAATGCTGGGGCAATAGAGGAACTGTAGTGTTTGGACTTACTAAGCAGACAGCATGTCATTAATGTTCCCTCTTCTTTCCCTTGTCCTCACGTCTCTTTTCTGGTTTTTTTGTTTTGTTTTGTTTTTTGGTGCAGGAGGGGTGAAAGTGTGTGTGTGCGTGTGATTATACTGAGTTTTACCAGGGATGAAATAATGGTAACAAGATAGCTCACATTTATGGTATTGCTTTTTGTTTTATGTAGACCTCCTGCTTAATTTCAGTGACGCGACTGCAGCTTCCTTGGGGAGACACAGGCTAGGCGGTAGGGAATTCATTTTAACCTGGCCGTCTTCTTTGGAGTGCATACATTTTGTTTTTATCTTTTTATTTTTTATTTTTTTGGTGGAACCAGGGATTGAACTCAGGCCCTTGCGCTTGCCAGGGAAGCGCTTATTCCACTGAGCCATCTCCCCAGCCCCATACATTTTGTTTTTAGTTTTTATTTAGTCACCATGATTGAAATGCCAAGAAGATTTCTAGGAGGAAAACCCTGCATCACAGAGTAGTTAGGCTTAGCCTTGCACAACCTGGATTGCTGCCAGGCCGTGACAGGCCTCATTTTCTGTGGTCCTACAGGACTGGTCTAGCTTTTTGCCAAGTGTGCGACTGTCTATAAGGCATATTCTATTATACAGATCTGTTTTTTGATCAGTACCATGCCTGCATCCTGCAGTGACTACATTCACTGTGGGGCTTTGGCACACATCTCAGTTCTGTGAGGTGTATTCTTGAGTCTCATTCCAAGGGCTGCATTAAGGAAAGACAGGTGGCTGTGGGTTGCTGTGGCAGTGGCGTTTGTTGTACCATTGGCCAACAGAGTTGGTGGGCTCATCTGCGTGCCAGGTGGAGTGTTGTCCTCCAAATCCAGTTACTGAAGATGCTGTGATAGGCCTCGTCCTGTTTCCAGTAGCTGGGAGAAACTGCTTTCTCAGCTAAGATCACTTCCTACTTCTGCAAAGGAACAAAACTAGTGCTTATGCATCTAATTACTTTCATAACTCTTATTTTATTTATTTATTTATTTTGTGCAGAACTGGGCATTGAACTCAGGCCCTTGCACTTGCCAGGGAAGCACTTATTCCACTGAGCCATCTCCCCGGCCCCCTCTTTGGTGACTCTAGAGCACCACATTTTATTCCTGCCACTCACCTTCCTCCTGCTGTCCCTCCCCCTGTACGCACGTTAGGGTCAGCAGTGTGACTCACAGCTTGAGAAGACATGCTGGTCTTCAGCTGCTCCTGTGGAGTCATTTCCACTGCCGCTTATTGTCTGGGGATCAGCCATCTCCAACGTCCCTTTGGGGTTTTGCACATAAGCACACGTGTGCCAAGCGACAGCTCTAGCACTGGTACATTCGCAGCTTTGCTCTCAGGACAGTGCTTCAGAGTCGAGTCTGCTAAATGAGCCTCATTAGCAGCTAGTGTACGTTTTAGTGGGGTATCTTATAGTACACAGAGCACATGAGAAGCT